CTGCTGCTGGGGTGTATACTGTTGAACGTACGGAAGCATTGCTGATAGTGGAGGCATCTGAGTGAAGGGCAGAGCTAAACCTCTGCCCTGCTGCCTCCATGTGCTGCTGCTGCTGCTGCTGCAGTTGGTGCTGCTGCTGCAGCTGCTGCTGCTGCTGCTGCTGCTGCTTCAGCTCTGTTCCCCCGTAAGGAGCCACTTCATCTCTGAGGTTGCGTTGTCTCCTCCTCTCATCCATTCGCTCAATCTGTAGAGTACAAGACAAAGGCTCACAAACCCTAAACCCTAAACCCTAAACCCTAAACCCTAGACCTTCATTAGTATAATAGACTGGATTCTGCGTGCTGCTGCTGCTATGCATGCGCTGCACTCGTTGCAGCAGCAAGTTGTATAAAGGAAGCAGCAGCAGCAGCTGTTTGCTGCTGATGAAGGGGGTTGCTGCAGCAACACCTTTAGTGGGGGGTACAGCCCCCCAGTAAGGGTGTTAGTAAACCCTAAACCCTAAANTGCTGCAGCAACACCTTTAGTGGGGGGTACAGCCCCCCAGTAAGGGTGTTAGTAAACCCTAAACCCTAAACCCTAAACCCTAAACCCTAAACCCTAAACTCACAAATCCATTCATTTTGTCGAGAGTAAATAGTATAAATTAAAAAAAAAATAAAAGAAAAATAAAAAAGAGAAAAAGGGATAAAGGAGGCGGGGGGCAGCAGAAGAAGAGAAGTGCCGCCGCCACTGCTGCTGCTGCTGCTGCTGCTGCAGTTGCTGCTGTTGCTGCTGTTGCTGCTGCACTGAAGGCCTAAAGAATATATTAAATGACAAAAAAGAAACAAAATTTAACAAATAAATATAAATATTGGAAGACAAACGCAAAAACACATGCAGAAACACATACACACACACCCCCTCTGCTGCGGTCGCTGGTGCTGCTGCTGCTGCTGCTGCTGCTGCTGCTGCTGCTGCTGCTGCTGCTGTAGCAGCAGCAGCAGCAGCAGCACTCAACTCGACTCTTTTGCTGCTGCTTCTGCTGCTGTTGCTGCTGTCAGTCAGCAGCAGAGAAGATATTTTATATATGAATACAGC